TTACACACATTGTCTTGTACAAGTTACAAAAAATTATAGATATAATTATGACAGTTATGAGCACATTTAAACATTATCTGAATTCATATTAACAATACTTTTACCAAGATAATTTACAATACTTTTAACAATTTTGTAAACTTGTAATTCAGTTACAAGATTGACTGAATTTTGTATGTCATTTGAACTGCTTTACAGCATTATTTTTAACAAGTCCATTCAAAATGAATAGTAATAAGCTTACATTACAATAGTTGTTTTGCTCTTACAGTCCTCTTACTATTCTACAGGATGAGCTACTTTTCTAATGTTGATTTTCGGTAGTTGTACTATTTGGCTTAAACTGGGTAGGGAGTTATGCGACTCAATTTTCTGGAACCTTAGCTGAATTGCTTGGAAAAGTTGCAACTGCTACTAAAGTTGTAGTATCTATCAAGAGAGTATCTTTCTCCTAACTGATTGCTGCTTTCACAGCCACGAGTACAGTTGGTCATGAAGTCACTATGTAAATTCATTCTCATCTGCGACACTGCAATATACAGAAATTTTTTATTACAAAAAGATTTGCAAATACATATTTTTAAGTTATAGTACAGTAATTCATGTAGTATTTTAGTGTTTTCTATGGTGACATACATAATATACTGTAGTACATATATACCTATACAGTAAATGGTTAAATGTAGGGAAAAACTATATCAAAAATAAAATTTGAGTTCCAATTAATAAATTTTTTTTTAATATGAAGTCTTGATTTTTTTGTTCCTTAACATTCATGTTAATGAGGGTTTACTGTATTTAAATAAAAGATAAAAATGAAACAATTTTAAAATATGTTTAATTTTAATAGGCATGGAAAGAACAAACAATGTAGCTAAAAGGAGTTTTATTATCCTAATATATTTCAATTAAATCAGCATTAATAATTCAACAATTATCTTTTGACAGTTGATTATACAGAATTCCTGTCGTAAAAAATAAAATATATGAACATCTGTTAACCCATTAGCCGCTGGTGTTGTGTTGACGCAAAGGTCAAAATAAATGCGTATATAAATACAGTCAAAAGTCGTTAATTCAGACACCCATAATCCAGAATGATCTATAATCCGGACCTCAAAGCTAAAAACTTTCTGCGCATGTGCCGCGCTGACACATGCGCACAGGCGTTTTACTCGTGCGCGTAACACCTTTACAACTGCACATATGCGTCTGCGCAAGCGCAGAATACGTTTTCGCCTGCGCGTTTAATGTATAACAGATGGTATAAGCTAAAATTATCTATTTCCGTTAATGTTGATGATTGCGTTCTTCCTTATCTTTGAATTGGATGTGGCTTATTATTTTTTGCAGACTGTAAGAGCAATTTTATATAAACTGGAACTTTCGATTATGTCAAATATAATTTCCGATGCTGGAGCTCCCAAAGGATCTCCAAAACGAAAGTATGTTTCAATAAAAGTGGAATTGCTGCTAAAAATGGATAAAGACATGAAGAAGGTGACAGAGAGGTTAGTGAAAACGAAAAAATTTCGATTGACAAGTTAGTCGGTATTCTCGGCACAGCATTACGGACTGAACAGCGGAACTTTGTAACTGAACAAGAAATTATGTCTGTTTATAGAATTAAAGAGAAAGTATTATCACATAAAACGAACAAAAACACAACTTAAAGAAGAAATGTTTAATAAATTAAACAAATAATAGTAGTTTTTTTTTTGAAAATTTTGATACCCTTTATCATAATTGTCCTTTATTTCATAAATTAGGTTTCTTTTTTATTTAGAATTTTGCATGCCATCTTAGAGATTTAAACTGATGATCTATAATCCGGGAAAAATCGATAATCCGAATAACCGAATCCTGCGAGTCGGATTAACGATTTGACTGTATAACTACCTAAGATTTTTGTACCAGCAGATGATTTTGTGTAGGAAAATTATGAAGATTGTTCTGTAAAAAAATAGTGCTTTCAACAATCATTGTGTTTATAATAATTAATTTCATACTTTAAGCAAAATTTTCGACCAGGTATTTTTGCCGGAAATATTTAACAAAAGAATCGCCGTCTTTATAAGTGATCTATTTTTAGTCAAGGTTATCCTTTATCAGAACATTACATCAATCAGATGTTTATATTTGTGTTGGGAAGGAAAGGAAAACAGGTGTTGCGCTGACGCAACGTCAGCAGGAAACGGGTAAGCTCCTTTTGGTTTAATCCTAGTATCCGGTGCACACGGGATTTGACTAGATGACACGGGGATGAGCAGTAAAAACAGGGCATATATGATGAGTTGGAAACGGGTATTCAAAGAATAGGTTGATCTTTACAATATGGTAACTGGTAGTTTGGCGACATTTTGGAGGCGATAAAGGTTACTACCTGGCACTTTGGTAATAATGTGAGCAGTACTCAGTCCGATTACGCATTTTTGTGTGAGGGAAATGAGAGTCATGGGATATGTCAGTGATTAATGGACGAATTACGGTTCTTTAATCGGAAAAGGGGGGGAAATCGGGAAAAAATGTTGGAAATTTTGTATTTGGCTTTTTCTGTGTTGTGTGAAACAGTGTTGGAATTTTTGGATCCCATGCCGAACTAAGTGAATTCGAAATGGGTTTTTTATGTATGTATAATTTCATGGGCTCATTTATATTTAAGTAGTGTTTTAAATTTAATTATATTTTAATTAAATGATAGTTATTTTGTGAATTTTATGTTGTAGGAATTTTGGTATACGTTTAGTTGAAGTAAACGTGCATGGAAATAATTTAAATATTCCTAAGTATTTGTAATGGTTGCGTATGAATTCGTTGGGTGACGTTAATGTAATGATGATTTAGAGTAAAAGTTTTTGGATTTTATTTATTTTATATGTGGAAATGTTCATTACTTTTTCGCGATCAGGTAATTTCATATATGTTCTTTTACCGGGTTTAAAGATTGGAAAATTGCTTTTTTCGTGAAATTTTCTAATTTACATGGATATAGTTGAGTGTGCGCAATGCCATTTTTTGCAATTCTGGATGTTTTTTTAAGTGAAAATAAGTCGACGTGTACATGGTTTAGTAATATTTTAATTAAAGTTATTTCGTGAATTTTATGTTTGTAGGAATTTGGTAACGTTTCAGTTGAAGTAAACGTGTACGGAAATAATTCTGGGATGTTTTTTAAGTAACATAAGTCGGCGTTTACATGGTTTATGTGTGTGTTATTTGAAAAAATGCTTAAGGAGTATGGTATTGTGCAATTTTCCCAATTTTGCAGTGAATATTGTCATGATTAAGCAGTTTTGTTAGATAAAATTTCTAGCAAGTGTATTCGGCTAGTAGATTGTTGGAAGAAGTGTTCAGTAGATAAAAAAAAAAGAAAACATGTCTTCTTGAAGACAAAATGGTGACGGGAAAAAAAAAAAATAGAGGGTTGCTGTAGGAGAGTTGATCGCCAAATTTTCGCCAAAAAAAAGCCAAGTTACCATTGTAAAGATCAACCAAAGAATATAGTTATATATATACTATATATGTATATATATATATACATTCTTCGGGTCATTTTTGGTGTTAACGATAATTTTCAAAAATCACGCCAATGCTGCACGGTATACTAGGATTTTACCCTCCTTTTTTACTCATTCCTTTCGATGTTCTCATTCATGTTCTGGCTGCTTTAAAAATGCCTATAACAAGGTATCTTACATTAGAAGAAGCCCTTCAAAGAGTTTTTTGATGAAGAAACTAATGATGATAATGTTAATAATGACCTGAATGAAACTGATATTGTTGTTGTTCCCCCCAGAACTTGCAGAAGCTTCTGATGAAGAAGAAGGGAATGACAATGTTTTACACAATGATAATGAGATTTTACCAAATGATATTGCTGGGAAAGTTGAAATTCACGTAAGAAGTAAGTTTCAGCCTTCTAAAAGCAGTGGTAGTCATAAGAAAATCTTAAAAAAGCAGAAAACTGAAAACTTGAAATGGATAAAAAAGGAACCATCAGTTATGTCTCAGGAATAAAATAAAGAAAAAGATAGAAGAAAAACTATAAAAGACAAAATACAAGGTAAAACTACTACAAGGTAAAAGAGATTTTTGATTTTATTTTTGGTATAGACATTTAATCTCTTCTCATTGAACAGACATATATATGTGCTGAAAAAAAAAAAAAAAAAAATCTCCCAGAATTTATTGCATCTGAAGCCTATATGGAAAGATTTATTGGAATATTATTGCTTACAGGATATCCTTTTTTACCTCAAAAAGAAATGTATTGGTCACTTGATAAGGACATTTCTGTTCCTATTGTACGAGAATCGATATCACGTTTGCAGTAGAAGAATACGAAGCAGAATTTGCATTGAACTGACAATAGTCAAATTGACAATACCGATAAATTATATAAGGTAAGACCGTATCTAAACTTACTAGATATCATGACTTTCTACTACTGGAAACAAAAAGTGTCTTTTAGATTTCAGATGCTAGATTGCATTATTCCTTTTGCAAACTCCTATTGAGAGTTTGCCAGAAACAGATCAGCAACAGCTATTTCTAGAGCAACAGATTTTCCTGTTGCTTATCTACTAGTAAATTCAGCATTCAAAAACCATTGCATGGAGATGGTAGACTTTTTATTGTAAAGTCCGATGATAACAAAAGATTTCATTGTAACGAGTGCCTTAGCCAGACTGTTTATAGATGCAAAGTATATAATGTAGCTTTACATCATGATTGTAGTGAAACTTTTCATGCTTGAATCTTTCAAATGAAATAATCTGTATTTGGCAAAGAAATATAATGCATATTTTGATATTAAGTTAATTACAAGCAAAGTGATTTATAGATTTATAAAACGTTGTACAGATAAAAAGTAATCCAGTGCTCCACTCAAAGGAAACATCGCATACGAATACAATCCTAGTCACTAAACATCCGTAGTCTTATTCCGCTGACGTTGCGCGAACACAACACTCGCTTTTTCCACTGGTAAGAGCATTTTCAATGGTAAGAAAAGAATCATTCCTTGTAGTTTTGGCGGTTAATGGGTTAACTATGCAGTGGATTACAAATGTTACATTACAGTAGGTTGAGAAAAATGTGATCAATGAATTGCAGTTCGGTAAGAAAAAGGTTATAATATACTACTTTTCAATATAATCATCCAGACTATGTCAGTGCTTGTCTGAATGTGCAATTAATCATTTAATGTCCAGGCAATGAAATTCTGCTCATTAGTCATGAAGCCATTTTAGATCCACTAGTTGCACCCAGATACAAACTCCTATTTTTGCTACGCCACACTTCATATGTCATTTACAATCAAAGCTGATGGCATTTATTATTGATTAGCATTAACCGAGTCTGTCTTGTTTCCAGGTGATGTTGATACAATACCCTCCTGTTACAGTACACCTTTTGTGGTTACAAAGAGGAAACTTCCACCATAGGAATGTGTGGACATGAGCTTTATTTGGTGCAAGTACTACACTAGATGCACAGTTCTGCTAGGTTATTGCAGTTTGTAACTTTCCTTTCTGAATCCCCCTCATATGTGTAAAGTCATTACAAATTCTTGAGCAGATAAAAGAATTTCACACTAAGATAATGTCAATATACACATTTTTAATAAAATTTCTAGAAAAACAACTAAAACTAAATTTTTATTTTGTTCCCTATCTTCTAATGCATGCAAGTAATTTTATATAGCTATGAAGATATTTGGAATTTTTGAAAAGTACAAATGATTATGTTCCTTTTCAGCCAACAAAATATGTGTAGTGTAGCAGTTAAAATCCCACACTTAAGATCCATTATGCATCACAAGAATATTTTTTTTATTTATTTATTTTCCCTGTTTTAAATACAAATCTGGTGAGATTTCTTCGTTGTCCCAAAATTCATAAACTTAATGTGCAATTTATATCTAAAGCATACTCAGATGTAGTCAGTATCTCCTTTTTGTTTCACTACTTACAGATCCACTTTTTAATTGTGAGAGGAGAGATGTTTTTGTAAATTATTATTACGAGTAAAGCCTTTGCCACAAATTTTGCAAAAGAAGGGTTTCAAACCAATATGACTCCATGAATGTCTCAGAAGATCCGATTTATTACCATACATTCTGTTACATTTAAAACATTTATAACTTTTGGTGCCAGTATGAGACAGCATATGACGATTAAGATAGTATTTATAGGTGAATCTCCTTTGACACACATTGCACTGAAATTTTTTTGAAGTATCATGAAACCATAACTGATGTTTATTTAAAAATTTTTCCTCTGTAAAAACTTCATCACAAACACCACACTCAAACTTATATTTAATTTCTTTTTTGTGTGTTAAAATATGCTTCTTTAAATAACTTGCATCAGCAAATGTTCTCTCACATATATTGCATTTTATACGCTGAAATTTTGTATGGTGTCCAATGTGTCGTTTAAGAGTAGCATCAGTGCAGAATTTTTTATTGCATTTGTAACAAGAAAAGGTTTTTTCACCTGTGTGAGATATTAGATGACGGTGCACTTGAGATGCTTTACAGAACTGTTTAGAACATATATGACAAGAATTAATTGGCACAGATTTATGAAATAATAGAAAATGTTCCCTAAAGCTTTTTCGAGTTTGACAACTTGCTTCACAGATATAACAATCAGAAACTTTTCTTTTATGAGCAATAGACTTTTGATTATTAGAAGTACCCTTACAATTATCAAAGTCAGTATTTTTATTTTTTACATTAACTTGATGTATATAATGAACTATGGGATTACTTGTAGTGTGTTTTGCTTCATCATGCAAGATACGGTGCCTTTGTAACAGTGAGCATTTTGTAAATGTTTTACCACAGATATTACATGAAAACAGTTTTAGGCTCAGATACTGCCATATGTATTTAGTGAGATGGGCTTTAACAGCAAGTTTCTTGTTATTCTTTTTACAAGCAAAAGCTTTTAAAGCCGGATATGTAGTTGCATGAATACTACAATGACGAACTAGTTCTGTTTTAAAACGAAAATGCTTTTTACATGTATTACATATGTATCTTTTAGTTCTATCGTGAAATAACAAAATATGCTGTGAAAGAAGAGTTCTGTTCAAAAAGCTTTTATCACAATAGTCACATTTATATTTATATTTCAACGTTTTATGTGTAAGTGTATGTCTCTGCAAAGTTCGCATCCGAACAAAACACTTTTTGCAAACAGTGCATGTGTATTGTTTTTTACACAGATGATTACCGTAATTCTTTCTCAGACTAGCAGCACTACAGTATGTTTTCCCACAAATATCACACACACATAAACCTTCCTTGCAAGTAGAAACATCCTTCACTGATGATAATATATTTGATTTTTTATCCTTTTCTTTAGATGGAACAGCTTCCCTTCTATAGTGCTTATTTTGATGATCAAAAGGCAAAATTTTTAGCTGTCTCTCACCTTTACTAAAAATATATAACTTCATT